ATCATCATCATCATCATCATCATCATCATCATCATCATCATCATCATCATCTACAGGAGGGGAAAAAAACAATCTGCAGAAGTATCATTAGGGCCCCAAAGAGGAAAGACTTTCAGAAGCTCATCTAAAAAGCCCCTTACCCAAATAAACTTTCTCCTCAAGAGTCTGCACGTTACCTTAGGCCATCTGGAAGAACTTCCTCTGTCTTAGAAGCACACAAAGCAGAGGGTTCCGAAGGACTGGGGGCACTGGCCCCAAGGCCAGCTACCTCAGAGGCCGCCATCTGCGACTCTGGACATTCAGAAACAAACGACAGGACACACGTTACAAAGCCCAACACTTTCCTCTGCATAATACCCACTGTCTCAGTTCCTCCCAACACCAAGAACTTAGGCTCTGGAGAAAACACCTAAGAAACAGTAATTGCAAGAGGGCAATAAAAAAGCCACTTGGAGCCCTAAGTCCCAGCCAGCACCAACCCGCGGGAGCTGTCATATGTACAGAAATATAGAGGAGTCTTCACAAAGCTTTTACTTTCTCTCTTGTCAGAAATGCGGGCATTTAAAATTGATGATAATCTGGTAAGAATTTTCCTGAATGCTCCATATACCTACCTTGTCTACTACCATTTTTAAAGGATGACCTTTTTGGCCCAGAATCAATACTATGTTTTAAAAAAAAAAAAAATCACTTTTTGGCTGTTGCAATCAAAGCATTCTCTATTAATTTAAGTGAAAGGTTTTCTGTGAGGTTTTTCCAAGAACAAGTCATTCCATACTGGACCATCTCCACGGGGTGTCTTCCCCCCTGTCGGTATCCCTTTAGAACAGATGGGAATAGTCTGTTATCTGCCAAGGGCCCACAAGCGAGTTACCATTATGACAAAACAGGTTACTACTTGGTTACTCCAGGAGAAAAAGGAGATGCTGATAACTCAAGTAAGGGAACCTAGGAAAACGCTTTTTTTTTTTTTTAATTTTATTTTTAAGAGCATCCTTTTTGCTGCAGAATAAACCCAGCCTTCTACGGTGAGAAGAAAAACTAGGTGGTGAGGTACGATTAGCTCACATTCCTGCTTTTATTTTGACAGCATCACAGGAATACCTCTAAACCCAGAAAAGTGTAAGACAGATAACGAGTCAGGCTGAACCAACAGTCACAGCCCAGTGCCTCAGTTTCCTCTCATCATAAAAAGCTCCCGGGTTAAAATGGGCCCTGAAACGCCATTATTGCATCTCGGATGCAAACATTCTGCCTCCAATAGGGTCGGGAATCATTGCCTCCAACAGGGAACAAGGTCTGGGTCACCGTTGTCCGGTAAACGAAAACCTTAGGGCAAGGGTCATACGTGAAACGCCGCGGCTGGAGCCCAAAGCCAGAGGGGTGGGGGTCGCACATCTGGCTGGAGAGTCCAGTATGCTCAAGGGAATCCCGCAACCCGCTGGCGGCCACCAGCCAGGCGGCGACGCAGAAGGGGACAATGGGGGGGAAGCAGCTCCAGGTGGTCAGCGCCACTCACACAGGCGGCTGCCGCATCCCGATCGCTAGCACTGGCCAGTGCCACCTCCACCCTCTCCCCCAGGTCGTCACCGGCCGCCAGCCCCCGTCCCACTCCCAGGCCGGGCTCCCGCCCCCGTGCCCGCCGCCCCCTCCCCGCCCCCCGCCGCGCCCCCTAGTCCCGCCGCCCCGGCCCGCGCGCCGCCCCGCACACACCTCCCGCGCCGCGCCCCCGGGGAGCAAAGGCGGGGGGAGGGAAGGGACGCACCTGAGCGGGCGGAGAGGGGGGAGGGGGCGGCCAGGCCTGGGGGAGGGGTCGAGCGCCGGCCCGCGCGCGGCACCTCCCACTTCCGGCGGCGCGAGCGCAGGGAGGGGGGCGAGGCCGGGGCGGCGGGAGGAGCGGCCCCGCGGGGTGCGCGCCGCCGCCGACGGCGCCCTCTGGCGGCAGGCGCGGGCAGCGCCCGGGCAATGTGGCCATCGCCGGAGAGCCCCTCCGACACAGCGGAGCCTGAGGGAACGCGGGCCAGGGAGATGGCGACCGGGAGCCTCTCCGCGGAGTTGACGGGGGAGAGTCAAGGCCACGGCAGTCTGAGGGAGAAGAGCCACGGGGGGTATTTGGGGGTCGGAACCGACACTGTCCTTTCAGAGGACGCCATGAAGAACGAGGGTCCTCTGGCGGGGGTGGGGGGCGTCCTGTGGCGGAGAACACGAGGACTCCGGGCGCCGAAGCCCCCTACAGCCCGCACGGGCCTGTGGCCGAAGCCATAGGCGGGCGTCGGCCGAGCGCCCGGTGCTCAGCCCGCTAGGCCGCAGGCCCGGCCGCTGATTGGCTGCGGCGCCGGGCGGAAGTGAGGTTGCTGTCAGTGGCTCCTCCGGCTCCGGGGAAGCCAAGGGTTTCCGCAGGGAGGCGGCGGAGGTGGAGACGACGGTGGCGGCAGTGGTGGAGGAGGCTGTGGGTGAGTTGTGTAGGGGACTGTACCTCGGAAATCCGGGTGGCCCTGGCCTGGGGGCGGTCGGCATCTGCGGAGGAGGCGCTGCGCTTGAGGGCACCTTGGGTCTTGGCGTGGGCGATCCCAGCGGGACGGGGCCTCCGGTTCTTAGGTTCCGGGCAGCATAGGTCCCAATGAGAGAGGGGCACATTGCACAGGACAGCCAAGGCCGCGGGGGGCGGGGTGGGGCGCTTTGTACAGGGCCTGGTTCCCGTGAGCGGATGGATGGGCTTGTAGGACAGTGGCTTAAGAGCAGAATCTTGAACGGGAGAGATGCCCTTCTACCTTGACCACTAAATGCCGTTTTAAAGGCCTAGCTGTTGAGGGAGATGGGAGTCTACTATCAGAAAGTGCTTAAGATTTCTTGCCTGGAAACCTGAGAATAAGTGCTGCTATACCCTGGGCTGCAGAAAAAGCTCGGTTTCTCTTCCAGAAATCTCTGGTGGAACCTACAGAGACTGCAGGAACCTGCCTGGGTGGATGACTGCTATCAACCAGATTCTGGATTTAATTATATGCAGACTAGGGAGGACATCTGGGTATCGTAGGACAATCAAAGCAACTCAGGAGCAGGGAGGAATGTAAGAGGAAACATGTACTGGAACTTAAGGACATAATGGCCTTTACTGCTGTAACAGCAGTAAAGGGATAGAAGCAAGAGGATCATGAGTTCTCAACCAACCTTTATTATATAAAGAAATCTTGTGTAAGCTGGAACTGGCACACACCTTCAATCCCAGCACTTGGGAAGCAGAGGCAGGCACATTTATAGAGTCCCAGGCTAGCTTGGTCTACAGAGTGAGTTCCAGGGCAGCCAGGGATACACAGAAAAGCCTTGTCTCAAAAAAAAAGGGGGGGGGAATCATCCTGAATAAAAACCAAGGAGAAAGGGGGAAAGCTACATTAATTGAAATTTTCAGGAGAGGAGTGGTGGAAGTTCCCTTTTTTTCCAAGGACTTTTTGGTGAAACAGTCTTTCCTAGAATGTTTTAAGTTGGCACCAACTGAGTGTATGTCTGGGTACTAAGACTGCTCCAGGGTGGGCTCAGTAGACAGTGGTGGCTTTTAAAGGAGCTCATGCACCCATATGTGCCTTGTCCCCACCCCCACAGTTGCTTGCTAGTTCTAATTTGACAGTTTTCCTTTGGGTGGGTGAAGACAGGCTAAGCCTGTACCCTCATGGAAAAGCCAACTTGGTGAGACAGGGACAGCTCTTTTCTTGCCACTCATTTCCTCTCTCCCAGTTACTACTCAGACCCATTTATGGCTGTTAAGTTTTATTGTCATTATCTGGCTTTCTACCTAATTTCCCTGCCTGGGCTGCCTCTAGGGGCTGGGTTGCCAGTTTTCTGGTAATGGAAAATGCTAACATTTAAGTCCTTCTAGGCCTTTAGATAAGCAAATAAAAAGAGAACGACATGATAGGTCAAGAAATGTGGTGTCTAGATTTTGTATTGATGTGGATCTCTTCCAGGTTATGACCTGGTTTTGGTCCCTGGAAATGGTATTTAACACTGGTCACTGGTCAGTCCTAGCCTTCACTGTAGCTTCAGCTTTGCTGGCTTTGGTGGGACACTTTTTTTTCCCCCTCTTCTTGGTGCCCACAGGTCTGCAGCTGTGTTCCCAGTCGACACTGCTCACAGTGAAGGTGACACTTCCCTCCGGTTTCACAAAATGAGTGTGGTGTGGTTACCCAGACCAGGACCTAAACTTCACAGAGAGTTCAGGTGGGAATGGGGCTGCACCCTGGGAGGCAGAAATCAGCTAGAGAAAGGGCTTAAGTTGTCACTAAATAAGAGGGCGGTGGAGCCAGGTGTGGTGGTTCATGCCTGTAATCCCAGGCAGAGGCAGGTGGATCTCTGTGAGTTTGAGGCCAGCAGTACGTAGTGAGTTCTAGGACTACCAGCACTGCATAGTGAGATCTGTCAAAAAAGAAAAAAAAGAGGGAGGTGGGGTCCTGGGTCCTGATCCTGTCAAGTTGTGGGGAGTGACATGTACTTTGAATACCTGAGTGAGCAGCCTAAAGCCCATGAGCACCTGGATGATACCAGGCTATTGGGTCATCAGGGATGGTCCATTGTGTCATGGGAGGTCATCAACTGGGGTTAGCCCTGGCTCATATTCCATCTGGGGGCTAACATTTTAACTAGAGGCAAATGTAATTGGTAGGAGAGGGAGAGAGAATATGGGTAGCAAATGACTAATCATTTGAAAGAAGTGGTGTGAGCTTTCCAAGGGGAACACACTGACAGACCATAGTTACGCTCTCAGATTTCTGCAGTTGCTGGCTTTCTTTGCTGATGTCCTTTCCCTTTGTCTGCAGCCTGCTGTTCTGATGCCGAAAGGGAGGCAGAAAGTCCCACACTTGGATGCCCCCCTGGGCCTGCCCACCTGCCTCTGTCTGGAATTAACTGGACTCTTCTTTCTGGTTCCCTGGGTCATGGGCCTGTCAGAGGCAGGTGGGCTCTACTCATTGGGTGCAGGGGGTCTAAGCTGGGCCGTACATCTGGACAGCCTAGAAGGTGAGAGGATGGAAGAGAGTCTGACGCAACAGGCAGATGCCGTGGCCCAGGCCGCAGGGCTGGTGAACGCTGGGCGCATTGGAGAGCTCCAAGGGCACTACCTCTTTGTCCAGCCAGCTGGGCACAGGCAAGCTGTGGAGGTGGAGGCCATGCGACAGCAGGCAGAGACTGTGTTAGCCAGGCATGAAGCTGTGCGCTGGCACTCTGAGCAGAGGCTGCTGAAGCGGGCCAAGCGCAGCATCCACTTCAATGACCCCAAGTACCCTCAACAGTGGCACCTGGTAAGTGCAGCTCAGATAGACAGGGTCTGCCCTAGTACCTTTTGATGGAGGCTTTCTCCCACTGCCCTGTGGAATGTAGATTGCTCTTAGCCCAAATCCTCCCTCTCTGCTGTGAAGAGCAATGCGGTGCTGAGGCTGGATGCACTCACTGCAGCTAGTCTACCAGACCCTTCTAGTTTCTAGCATATACCTCTCTGTGCCCCGCCTATAAATGGAGATTGTAGCAGTACATACTTCATAGAGTTACCATTAAAGTAAATGAGTGTGTATGGGAAGCATTTAGAGAAATGTCATACACATGGTAGACCCTGTTACGTATAGGCTAACTGCTAACCTTGTTGCATAATAATTACCACTTAGCCCTAGCCACCATTTCACACTGAGTTGCCCACAAGTAATGCCAAACTTTCTTGGAGGCCAAGGAATGGAGGGGCAGGATTCTAATGTGCCCTTCTGGGCTCTGTTCCCCACTAACCTGTTGGTCTGTAGCCTCTGTTTGGCTCTTTGGAAGAAGCCAAGGGAAAGGGTAGCTTTAACTTGTCTCTAGGCTGAGCTGTGTGTGTGGCTGGATTTCTCTGTCTACAGAATAATCGGCGGAGCCCAGGCAGAGACATCAATGTGACAGGTGTGTGGGAGCGAAATGTAACTGGGCGAGGGGTGACGGTGGTGGTGGTGGACGATGGAGTGGAGCACACCATCCAGGACATTGCACCCAACTATGTGAGTGGCTTGGAATGCCCCCTTGCTGCCATGTTGCTCCTTCTCTTTGGTGTTACTTCCCTTTTGTTCCCTTTCCTAGAAGGCACTGAGCCAAGACAAAGAGCCTGGGTGGGGTTAGTGTTGATCTACTCTCCCTTCTCCATTAGTTTTTTAGACTGGCAGTTAGGCCCAGAAGTTGACTTTAGTCTATAGCAAGAGCAATTCCAGGCAATACTTCCTGCTTCCTGTTGTTGCTACTCCTTTCCTAGGGAGCAGGGAGTAGCCTTATAGGCAACTACTTACTTTCTCTTCAGAGGTTCTGAAAACTTGGGGCTGAGGTGTGGTCTTTAGAAAGTCTGAGATCTCTTTTATCATGGGTTTCCCCCCAAGCAGTGGGCACAGTCATACACCACACAAGAGAAAAGTTTGCTTTAAAACCCTTGGCCCTTCTCAGATTTTCTCCAATGTCTTTGGCTCATATCTCATAACCTTTGTTTGCTCAAGGCAATAGACTTAGAAGTGGAAACTCCCAGTTCCTTGTTTTCCCTGATGTTTAGGACCTGAACCCTTCTAACCAGTAAGTGACCACTTGTTGGCCCCTCAATATTTCAGAGCCCAGAGGGTAGCTATGACCTCAACTCTAATGACCCAGATCCTATGCCCCACCCTGATGCGGAGAATGGTAACCACCATGGGACCCGGTGTGCAGGAGAAATTGCAGCTGTGCCCAACAACAGCTTCTGTGCAGTGGGCGTGGCCTATGGGAGCCGAATAGCAGGTAATCGTGCTTCCCCTATCCTTGGGAAGCACACAGTGGTCATTCTCTACCCTTTTCTCCATTCTGAAATTTATTTTTCCTTCCCTCAATTTCTAAAGCCTAGAGTAAGGAGTAAGAGCATGATGGGTTAATTAACTCACTGACTTTTCAGGACCATTTTATTTCATAAGGGCTTTTTAGCAACAGTATTTATTTTAGGTATAAAACAGGTAAGCTGGGCATGGTGGTGCACACCTTTAATCCCAGCACTCCAGAGGCAGAGGCTAGCCTGGTCTACAAAGTGAGTCCGGGACAGCCAAAGCTACACAGAGAAACACTGTCTCAAAAAACCAAAACAAAAAAAACAGGCAAACATGAAAATGCTCATATTGTGGCCTAGACGTCCCAGGCTGCACCTGCTCAAGTCTCCTTCCTGTCTTTGATCATGTCTGTGCTCATCAGTGACGAACATGACTGTAACAACTCCTTTGACTTGACTATGCTCTGCTAGTGTTTTCCTATTTTATGAAGTGCCTTGTCATTAGTTTGCCTTCCATGACTCCACATCTAAGGAGGCTACTCTCATAGTCCTACCTCTCCAGTCCCATGCTCCCTACTCTCTTAAGAGACTCTAGTCTCCAGCTGGAGATAGTTCTACATTCTTTCATCTCTCAGTCTTGTGGGTGAAAGGGAAAAGATGAGCACTCCCCCTAAATCCTGATGAATGAACGCCTGAGAACCTACAGCCACAGAGGCTGACTGTAACCCTTGCGGTCTCCAGCAGGGGGCCTCAGCACATTGCAAGTTCTCATGTTTTTACCTTATCACTACACTGTGACTCACTCCATTTTAGAGGAAGAACTTCGACATCACTGTGGGTAGCAAAGGCAATG